CATCAGATGTTTCTTGTGTGATACCTGGCCATCATTTGGGACTGAACCAGCTGATATTAACTTGCACTGACAAGGGGCAGGCTTGCTTTCTTATTACTGAGAGAGTTCAGCTGGTGTCTTGGCTTTCCATGCCTTTTTACAAAATAACTTCATTTCTGGACATTTATGGTTTGATTTATTTGTATGTATGGACCACTTGGGTTGTTACCAACATCTGATAAAAATTTCATGTCATTAGCACCTCTAGTAATATATTTACTGAGAAAAATTGTGACGTGTTCAATACTTATTTAACCTGCTGTAAATGTATATATAGGATTGACTGACAACTTTCCATTATACATGATCAGGTCAGGGACTGGTTGGAAAATGATCTAAAGAATAAGTTAGTAAGTCTATAGAACTGTTGATCAAAGTCAATTTAAAAGATTATATAAAAGTTTTGTTCCTCGGTTGCAAAGTGTAAATAAATGAGAGATGTAGGACATTTGCACAGAACTGTGTAACCATCTGTTCTTTTTCCTCTCCCTATAATTCAGTTCAGGCAAATTCTTAGTGTTTTATTCATTCCTCTTTTCAAAAACATGTCCACATTTCTCCTTCTTTTCCGGATGTTTCCAGACTTTAGATTCTCAGGACAACACATCCTCAGGAACTCATGAAGCCATTCTCTAGTTTAGGGGTTGAAAGATGTACAAATGAAAGTATTTTATTTTTTTTGTTCTTTTGGTTTACTGCTGTTACACATTGCCATCACCACTTCCTGTTTTGTTTGCAATGTGCACGCTGATGCTTTTCTGTCTCCACAGGAAGCTTCCCACTGTTACAGTTTGCAGTGTTAGTTTGAAGACGTGTAAAAATCTAGTATGTTTTACAGCTTCCTGTCTGCGTAGAGATTCTTCTAATTTGCATTTGTCGAACACCAACTGTGACACAGATGGACATGAAATGTGTACTGGTTTTATCGGAGATAAAGAGGAATCCGTGTGAGGTTTTGTTTGTTTTGTGAGAAAGTGCTTGAGATTCTCCATGTCCCCACTCATTGTTTGCTGAGTCTTGAGGCGGGTCCATCTCACAGGTGACTCTGAAACATGTTTTGATTTTTAGTTCACAAGCCAGAAGTCCCAAGTGCCGACAAGAAACCTCATCATGCTATTAGACCAACAGACAAAGGTACAACTCCTCTCTCTCAGATGAGAGTTCATATTCAAATTTTTATCACAAATAGTTATTCTGTGTTAAAATAAGCATTTGGGTAATATTGTTGTTCTTTTTTTTGGTCTTTAATTTAGTTTCAAGTGGCCTTAAAGTCTTTAAAAGTCATACGTTTAACTTGTGTTAAAGGCATCCCCCATTAGTTGTAACATTAGACTTTATTTGATAAACATTTATTTTAACTGTAAAATAAAGACTGTAAAAATACTGTAGGATGTTTAGTTTTTATAATTT